AATGGGCACGGACAACAGGGGGGGGCAGGGCAAGAGTGGGGGGGGTTGAGGGTATCGTGGATATAAGGACACATATGTAATATCTTAATCAATAAAAAATATATTAAAAAAATGTTCAAAAGGTATGTGCATATAATATTTTTTAAAATATTTTTATTGATTTCAGAGAGGAAGGGAGAGGGAGAGAGAGAAGCATCATTGATGAGAGAGAATCATTGATTGGCTGCCTCTTGCACGCCCCCCACTGGGGATCAAGCTCACAACCTGGGCATGTGCCCTTGACTGGAATCGATCCAGGGAGCCTTCCGTCCGCAGGCCGATGTTCTATCCACTGAGCCAAACCAGCCTGGGGTGTAATATTTTAATTGTAACCTCTAGGGTAATAATTAAAGGAGTAATCTATATATATAAGATCCTAATATGCAAACTGTCCCTGTGGGAGTTCAACCAGGAGATTGGTCCCTTGCTATGATGTACGCTGACCCCCATGGGGCAGCATGGAACAAAGGAAGGCCCCAGCCAGCAGCTGGCAGCCAGGGAAGGGAGGCCCCGGCCGATAGACAGAAAGCCCTGATTGGTCCTGATCACCAACCAGGCCTAGGACCCTACCTGTGCACGAATTTCATGCACTGGGCCTCTAGTGAGTGTATAAACTCCAAGGAATGGGGGAAAAGGAGAATAATAAAAAATAATCAATCCCAATATAGGCAAAAATAAGAGAAAAAACAAACACAGAACAGTGGCACAAGGAGATGACATGCTTAAATCCAAAGGTATCAGTCACTACTTTAAAAAGAAATGGACTAAAAGCTCCAATTTAAAAGTTTGACAAAGGTTAGATGAAAAAAAAAGAAGTCAACTAAATGGTGTTTTTAAAAGACAGATACAGAACACAAGGATACAAAAACATTGAATAACAATCTGTATCACATATGGGAAAAATGGAATGCAAGGAGTCCGTTTATATTAAGTTATTATAATGTATAACAAGAATGACATAGACATAGGGTGTGAGTTTTGTTGTTATTTTTGTTAATCATCACCTGAGGATATTTTTTCCAGGTGAAGAAAAATGGACTAGGATGGGAGGTATAAAGAAATATGGATTTTAGCTGTTTTTGGAGGAAGAAACCAAAACAACTACTAATGGAATTAGCACAGAGATTGTGAGTTTTGGATTTACAGGAAGAGGAGTGAGTGGTGAGGGTTCCTCCTTGGAGTACTTTCTTATCATCGTCATGGTTTGCTTAAGCATCTGGCCTACATCTTCCACGCATCAGGAGCTACACTGTATTCTCCAACAAAGACGATGAAGTAGTAGTCAAAGGATTTTAATGAAGAGGTAAAGATAGGTTGTAAGTAGTTTATGGAATAAACAACTGTTTTTCTGACAATTTATTATGATGAACAATTACAAATGCATTTATAAAACAACTGTGTTTTGATTGCAGCAAGGTATGATAATTTCAATTTTGGTCCAAATCACTATGAGTCAGCCTTAAAACCTTCAGAGCACTCTGTACACATCCCTACCTAATAACAGCTAAAATCACTTCTCAGCAGAATACTGATGTACTAAAGAAGCAAGACAAATGATATCTTAGGCAGGCATGAATTTCAATTAATTACTAAAACATAAAACAAAACTCAAACGTAGTAATGAAAAAGGGAAATCCTTCCTTTATCTAAAACCAATAAACAAGCTATACTAACGTACAGATTTAGGTAAAGCACGTAATTTTAATCCCTATATGATGTGGAAAATATTTTTATCTTTATAATATATCATGAATAAAATTCTATACTTGTGAAGTTTTGCTCCTTTATTACCATCTTTTTCTATAACATTAACTTTTTACTTTCAAAAATGAGTAAAAGCAACAAAAATAAAATGACCACTCACGTCATATGTTAGTGAATCTGCTTCATTAGCCACAGTGAGGCCTGCCAATTCTCCAAGTCCCAGTTCATTTTCAAGGGCTTCATCTGCTCCCATGATGAATGACTTCCCAGAGGAAGGAGGAAATGTCAGTGCTTCCACTGAAAGAAGACAAAAGAAACAAAAAAACACCTCTATAGAGTCAATAATTAATCTCATAAGGGCATGTCTACATTTGATTATTTTAAAATGCTTTTAAACATAAAATTCAGTGAGCAGAAAATCCCGAAGAATTACTTGCTTTTTTTCATATCATAATCATAGCTAAAGGTGTCATGTAATTAGAAAAATAAAACATGAAACAAACCCAATCGTTATTGTCCTTTCTTTTACACTACACAAAAAAATAATGTGTATAAAGGAGAGTCAGTTTTCCTCACATGATAGTTCTTGCTAATTACCAAAATTATTTCTATCAATTATTAAACATATATAGCAAGTAATTCTGAACACTGTTGGTCTCATTCAAATAAAATTGTTAATTCTATAACTTAGAGGAATGCAGAAAATTTCAAATAAAAATGGTACGAATGAAACGTGCTGATAGGAGGCAAAACTATTACGCAGCAACAGAAATCAGGATACCCTCTAAAGAGGAGAGAAGGGATAGTGATTAGAAGGACTTCTAGGGTCCTGGTCATGTCCTACTCCTTGGCCTAGAGGCAGTGGTGACATGGTTGAGTTCCCTTTGTAATAGTTCACTGAGCTACACTTTGGTGACTTCAGCAGTTTTCTGTAGGTATGTTATATTTCATTTAAGAATGCTTATTTTAAACAAAAATTCTTAAAGTGTCCATTTGAACACTTTTCTTTAGTTTCCAACTGTGCTTCAAGATGTCATATTTATTTTGTGATAAATATAAATACCCTTACTTTATAACACTGTACATATACCAATCCAATCCCTTTAGTCACCATCACAGAAGAACCAGTTAAAAGTAAAATGCTAAATTTATTATATAAAACAAAGATTTTATTTAATTTGACCAATAATAAAATGTCACTTTTTATAAATGCAAACTGTCAGAGGTGGTCACTCTGTAGTTTTCTATAGGTGGGTGGTTACTTCACTGATAACAAGCATTTATGAGCTCATTAGATGAATTTAGTAGTTTAAACTTTGGCTGTTAAAGAAATAAATTTTTTCTTAAAAGTAACAAATAGATTTATTAATTAGTATATGTAGAAAACTGAGTTTACAAGGTGTTTTTCAGCAATAGACTCATTTCTATAATTTTTTTTCAGTCATAAATATTTGTCAAAGAAATGAAAGAATAGCTTTGTGCTTTTAAAAATAGTAGTGGCAGAAACTCTACTGAAGAAACTTGTAAGAACAAAGTGGAGTACAAACTAAGTTATTTTCAAACCACCATGCTTTAGTTATTATTAAAGCAGCAATAATACAAATGGGTTTTACCAAAACATACCATATGTCCTCTGAGGAAATTCAAAGAACCCTGAACATTTACTAATGATAAGGGGATTATTTAAATTAGAAAAGCAATTTTCATGCCAAAATTTCAACCACAAGATTCATGCAAGACTGAGACTAGGTCTCCAGCCAGGTGTTTTGTTTTCTACCATTTTCATATAACTTTATTCAGATGTTAAACAAAAATTACTCCTACAAAAAAAGACAGATTTGTGGGATCTGACCATACGTATTGTTTGGGTAATTTAGCTAGTGCTCGAGAAATGGCCAAGAAAAGCCTGAAAACACATACCAGTGGCTAAACTAGCAGCCTTGAGGGTTGAAGAGAGAAAGCAACAATAGGTATAACCTTATTTGATTGCTACGATTTCTTAGAACTTAAGACTATAATGCATCTTAAGTATGGCACTGCCTCCTCAATTAATAAAATAAAAATAAAGAAATGTATATAGCACACAAAGGCCATGGAAGCTTTTATCTGAAATGGCAAAGATGTTCTAAGCTAGAATTTAGAGTTGGTTTTTAAGTTTGTGTACCCATTTGTAGGTCTTAAAGATTGAAGTTGGAATCAAACCCCAGTGAATATAAGATAATCTAGATTTGGGGAACGAAAGTATTGGTAGAATACAATTCTTCTTATAGAGAATATTTTCTAATAGGAATTTAGATATGTATATCCAAGTGCTTTTTGTGCTCCAGAGTATCATAAATACTCGCCTTCATCTGCTCTATTTATTTCATGTTCAGGAAGCCTGGAGCTGCTGGGTCTGGAAGGTGAACCCACAGATGGCTGCAATGAAGGAAGTTCATCAACATCTCTCAAATTAGCAAGCATATCTTGTAGTTTTGACCTATTGGGCCCTAGCCCAAAAAAGGGAGGGAGAGAACAAAAGAGAGGATATAGAATTATTCAACTGCATTGAAATGGTGCTATAAACTTTATTCACAACTGCCAACATCCACTTTTAAAGCTACCCTACTATATTAAAAAGTAATTATTTTCCAAACTTTCAAATTATTTTAAAAGTTTATTTCTTGAAAAGGCATTTTACATTTATTTTTAAAATTAAGTTAATGAAATATCATCACTATTTGTATGAAAAAAATGTTCATGTGCAATTTCAACCATTAAAAACAATATTCTATCATTATCGCATATTGGTCTAAATTCAGACAGACACCACAGACTGTGAAGCTATTGCTGTATACCAAATTAAACAATAACATCACTTTTTGTTTGTTTGCTTAAATTAAGTTGCATTCATTGCCTGACATCCTGAAGCTACGGTACCCGAAGTGAAGTCTCATGCCCTGCTGATTACTTACCTGAAACTTGATTCTTCATTCTCCCACATCCCTGTTTTGACTGTTTTATATAGGATAGAGGCTGAAACAGATCTTCGGTAGTTTTTCCTGTTATAAGTTTAATTAAGAATGGGAAATCTTACCCATAGTCCGTTATGTTTTTTTCCTATACCAGCATAAGCAATTTTAACTAATACCTAGAAATATATTTCAAGACAGCATGACTGGAGTACACAATTTGACTGGAAATATATCTACTAGACCATATTAAAAGAATTCAATCTTTCCCAATGAGTAAATAGTTCAATTAATAAAATATGTATAGATTATAAATTAATGCTTCATTTATCGATTCAAAGTTTTGTTTCAGTTCTTTTTATCGTCTTGACTTGTTCCCAGACTACCATTTATCCAGATAATATGAACTGACAATGAAAACAAAATGTGCTGAACCTGTCTATAGCCTCTCCAGCTTCAAGAAAAGACATTAAAATTTTTCCCCAGAGAGTCATTTTTCCTCATCATACTAAAAAACTTTATGCTTTATGCCTAAATACTGATCATAATCCCTACATTCAGGAAATAACTTCTATTAATAGGAATACTGTTCCAGTCAAATGGTGCAGTTTTAGATCTTAAAGTGCTAAATTTCAACTACAGCAATGCCTTGATATTTGACAAGAACTGAACAATCAATATAATAGTATGTGGGTTCTATGTAAGTCCTGATACCATTCCAATTTAAAGATCTTTTACATTTCAAGACATTATTTCAGCATAATGACTTAAAGAGATATATCATCTTTAACTCAATCTAAAAATTAAAATATTCTTTTTCTCATATATGATATACAAATTTTCCTCAAAATTTCAGTTTAAAGGGGTTGGTCAGCAATTTATTTGGATAAAATGTACAAAATATTATTTTAATATTTATATTGATTTAATTTATATTGAGAAGACATCAAATGACATCATCTCTCAGTTATGTAATGGTTGGCACAATGATAACATCAAAAACGGTCACTGACTTTTATCCATTCAAACTTACTTGTAAATTCTAAAATATTTTAAATAAACACTTAAATGTTTTCCAATAACTACCAGGTTATAAAAGAATGTCCTAACAGAAGTGACTGGTTTTTGATAAGCTTTAGCATCATTACAAAAAGAAAAAATATATCCTTCCAGTCTTCTACAACTTTTAAATACATGTTTTACTAAACTGGATTTTAATCTCACTTTACACTACTTTAATATCCCAAAGGATGAAATTCCTATTGCCAAAAAAGGAAGACCCACATTCATACTGTCAATAAGAGGAAGCACAAGGAGGTAGTTTCACCTTGTTCTCCTAAAAAGGTGTTTAATGTTTTCAGGGATGTTTGAAAGCTTTTGTATTTCCACTTTACAGGCTTAACTAGAGCTATTGCTAAACTTTATTAATAGTTTGCATAGTGAATTATATATATGATTCACAGGGCTAGAAATTTAATTTTAGCTTCTATTTTTCATGTGGCACACATTTTATTGAAAACAAAAAAAGCTAATTGGTAATGTTATAAATGGAATTGGCCAAAAGTTTTAAATTAATAAATACTTTTAGAAATTGTATACTTGTGCCCTGTATAGCATATAATGGTGAAAGCAAATGAACTGTGTGTTATGAACACATAGAATATTCAGGGGTAGAAATTAACTTTCTCTCTGTCTCTTAATTCTAAAATTATAAGCAATAATTTTGGTGGATTGCCACAGGGTCAAACTAGATGAGATTTAAATTGTCTAAAACTGTCAACAGTGAAAAATCATTATTGTAATTTAAGTACAAATATTTTTAAAAATCAAATTATCACTATGTTTGAATACATAGTCCCACACTCTCATGAGGCTCTGGATTTATTACTGAAATATGTTATGATTCCACAATAATATGCATAGTTTTTCTTTTTTTTTAAAGTTCATAATTGAATAGCTAACCATTTAATTTCAACCCCTGAGAGCAAGTGAAAAGGAAAGAGGTCAGGAGTAGAAAAGAAAAAGAGTAAGTAGTTTTAGGAAAACATTGAAAAAAAATTGGGGGATATGAAAGAGGCAAGATTTATGATTTACAGATACAATGTTTTCCACTTACTCTTCACCCCCTTTTTCCCCTTTCTCTCCTTTTTGTATTGTTCCTTGAGTTTGGTAATTACTCCCTGGTCCACATTCCAAGCTTCAGGCATGAGACACTGGTCTTCCTTTTCTAAACAAAGTAAAACAAATGAAACAGCCTTTTTCAATGAAATATTAAACACTGTAAGTCAATAGTTATGAATGACATAACTATTTTCTTCTTTGTATCATTAACTTAAAAAAAGACATTAGCTATATGTCACACAAAACACAGTATCTAAGAAATGGTGACCAATTCAATTTCCTAGGTAATAATACTAAATTTCTCTTGAAAGAGACATAGAAAAAAAGCACACACACCTGGAAGATGTGACTTTTATTAAATTAGGCCCCAAAATGCTATAATCAGGAACCCCTCATTTTCATCCCATTTTCTGAATTAAATTAGGACTGAATCACAAATTTTTATTTATTTACATAATGAGAGATTATTATTAAGAGATTATACAAATAGACTTCAATGATCTTTTCATTTGGAAAATTTTATGTTTTTGGCATGTGTTCATCAACAAATGACCATTTTTATTTTATAGGACTTATAAGGAATACTTGAAAACTTAACCTACATCCAAAATTTATACAATTTAATCAATTCCTTAAATGGAAACAAAGCTTCTAGTAAGAAAAAAATTACAATCACTAATTTTCACTATTTTGGGAGAAGAAAATTTAAAGAATAAACGTTATATATATATTACACTTACTATAAAATAATTTATATACTATATAATGTCATGTGTTAGCTCAGAACTCTCGCTTGAACTCAAGACTCATATATCCAACTGCTCATTCTACATTTCCATTTGGAAGCCTAAATAGTATCTCAAACTAAACAAACAAAATCAAATTCCCAATCTTCCCCATCCAATCTGTTCTATCCACAGGATTCCCCATTTAACTTGCTGCAATAGTTGTCCTCTCGCCCCACCAAGTCTATTATCAAGACTGGTTGCCCTGGGTTCTTTATATAGCATCCAGAGTAATGCTTTAACATAAAAGTCAGATCCTGTCATCCTTGTGTTCAAAACCCTACATGATTTGGTCACTTCTTACTATATTCCCCTTAGAAAAACTCTGCTCCAGCCACTCTAGCTTCCTTGAATTCCTCAAGCATATTACGGCTGCTGCTATCTTAGGGCGTTTGCTCTGGCTTTCTTTTTCCCAAACACTTTCTCCAGATACCATATCCCTAACTTCCCTCATCAAGGCTTTTGCTCAAATGTTATCCTCTCATGGCACTTACCAGTATTTATTTTAAATTGTAATCACCCCACACCCACCACTCTCTATCCGCCTTATTCTGTTCTACATTTTCTATTTTCCATTGCATTTATCATCTTCTGACATACTATTCATGTACTGTGCTTAGTGCCTATATCCTCATACTAGACTGCAGGGACAACAGGGATAGAGATCCTCACCTAGAACACTTGCCACACAGAAGGCATTTGATCAAGATTTGTTGAATGATTGGACTAAACCAAAATATGCCAGAATAAACAGTAATCTGTTGGGTGGCTTCTGGATCCTCAATTGCCTTCAGTTGTGTGATTTTAAATTAGTCTTAATTTTTTTAAAATAAAAACATTATCCTTATCATAATCTTAACTAGACTTATAATAACAATAGCAATGAAAGGTCATAGAAATTGTGTGGTACAATCTATTTACTTGGCAGAAACTAACAAGATTCTTAACCTAAGCATATTCACCTTTTTAGGGGTGTGAGGAGGGATAAAGGAAGCACTTAAAATGGTTTAAATGTCCATTCAACTACACAGGATTTGCCATTTAGTTTTGTTAATTGCTTAAAAGTGGAATGCTTTGATTTAGAAGTATAAAACACATAAGATCAACGTCCTGGTAAAGAAACCTCCAGTTGACTGAAAGATTCCATTCACTCATATTCATAAACAAAAATACCCAGTGCACTACTAAAGAGTGCAACAGCTCAGATGTGGGAACAGTGCCTCAGATTTTCACCAGTAACTTCGTAGCAGGCTAGGTTAAAATGTACACACGGGTATCATATAATACTAGAGGCCCAGTGCACAAAAATTTGTGCACTGGCTGGGGAGGGGGGGGTGTCCTTCAGCCCCACTTGTGCCCTCTCACAGTCCGGGACCCGTCGGGAGATAACCACCTGCTGGCTTAGGCCTGCTCCCCGGATGGCAGATGGCAGGCCCGATCCCTCGGTGCCTGCCCTGCCTACCCGGGTCACGCACACGGCAGGGCCAATCCGGGGGTTGGGGCACCGACCCGGGTCGTGCACACGGCAGGGCTGATCCGGGGGTTGGGGCACCACCCTGGGTCGGTTCGCATACAGACGCCTGCCGTCCCGGGTCGCAGATAGCAGGCCCAGATGGCGGTGGGGCAGGCAGGATGGCGCTGTCTCGCCCTGCCTGCAGTATGCAAATTAGCCGCCATCTTTGTTGGCAGTTAATTTGCATATCATGCTGATTAGCCCATGGGAGGCGTAGCAAGGGTACAGTCAATTACCATGTTTGTCTATTATTAGATAGGATGTGGGACCATAACTCATGCCTTAAAGGTAAGGAAATTACATATGGGACAGTACAGCTGTCTTTGAAGGAAAATGAATCCCAATCACCACTGCAATAAGAATGGCAATGAAAAGGGCCAACTATTATTATTCAGATGTATGACTCCTTAAAGAAAAGACCTTTGTGTTGCACAGTGATCTAGCTATATTGGTAGAGTTGTTGCCTGAAATATCTGAATAACTTGATATATAAGCACATTAGGGAATAAGACAGAAGAGAGACTCATTTCACTTTAACTTCCTCTGATTTCCAAACTTTGTTCTGGGGAGGGGGAAAAGGTCAGTCACTGAAATAGCCATTATATTCGCCATATTATGATTTTAAGCGATTATCCCAAATAATTCTTCAAATATTTGCCATGAAAAAGAAGCGGTATTAACATTATCAGATCCCTGAAGGAAAAGGGACAAGAAAGTATTAGGATAGTTATTCATTCTCTAACCTTATCAGTCTTTAAAGTGCATAGACTGTAAACTAAGGTTGTTCTAAAATTCTTTAACCTCAAGAAAATTTTCTCTCATTCCAAAACACTTGTTTTAACTCCTGTTAGACATTTAAAATAGTAAACACGCTTAGAAGAATTCACACACAAAATCTGATGCCTTGTGCAAACTGACAAAACCTGACTGGAATGATAAATACAATTTTTAAACTTTATTTCTTTTTGTACAGAAGATGCCAGAGATGAGCTCTCTAAATCCTCTAAAACAGCAATTTTCAACCTTTTTCATCTCATGACATACACAAACTAATTACTAATATACTGCAGCACACCAAAATAGATATGGTATTTTTTGCCCATCTGACAAAAAAAAAATAGGTATAATTTTGATTCGTTCACACTGACAGCTTTTGCTGTGTTGGCTGATATCATTTTTTCTTTTATTTGACAATCTAAGAGAAAAGAGATCAGTGCCCCTGACTAAACAGTCAGGTATTGTATGTTTTAAAAATTCTTGCAGCACATTGCTGCTCTAATACATTGTCATATTCAATTTCCACAAAATCTAGATTTGCAAGTTTTACTATCTAGGCAGAAAATAGAAAACATTCTGTATGTGAATTCAAATTATTTTCATACTGTATTCATTTTTTAAAATGAAATAATTACGTATACAATCTTCTTTAAACACACACACACACACACACACACACACACACACACACCCTAGACAAAAGGTGATGGTAATAAAAAGTTCATTGCATCAACATTTCAACTTATAAGAGATTTAAAGTGTTCTTTAAGATGTTTCCCTCCTGAAAAAAATATTTGTTTCTTTTCTTTACATAATGTCTCTGGTTGGATCCAGTACCCTTCCTTACCCCAGTCTGTTCCGTCACCTGCACTTCTAGATTCACTGTCGCCTTCCTCTGATGTAACCAAGAAGTCAAACTCCTTTAGAGCTTCTTCTGTATCTCGATCGTCACTGCTCTGAGGCAATGCTTTTTTCCTAACAATCTATTGAGAAAACATGCCAAATTAAAATGTATTATGGAAGTAATTTAAATAAAGGAGAAGGTACCCCTTTACCATTGAGTGACAAAACCCAATTAATTGTTTCCTTCAGAAAGTGTATTTTTGTAATACCTATTCAACAGTTGAAAACAGATGTCTCTTTAAAAAGTGTATAGATTTTAATATTATACATTTTAAAGTAGTAATTTAAATTTTGTTCAATGATTTCTTACTGTAAATAAACTAATGGAGTCATATATTGAAAACACTGGAATATAAGACACCTATTTAAATTAGATAGATAAAAATATGTCCTCTATTATAAGAAACACAACCAAATCTTGTATTTCTTGGATACAGTTTGTCCAAAGAAAGAAACACTTCATGAAACATTGCAAGAGCTTTCCGAATATAACCATGATCAATTTTAACTGTAATATATCATTCCCTTATAAAATTTACAATCACAGAAACTACAAACTCAGTAATGAATTCCTTAGACTTAGAAACTATTCTGTTTGTGGGTGGGGGGGGGGGGTAGCGGGAGGAATAGGAAAGGAATTCCCATTATTATTTCTACTGTCCCAGCCTTGCATCAATTTTCTCCAATAACTCTCTATAATATTCAAGTTTTTCCTAAAATATGGATGTTTCAGAGTGAGACTTGACTTAGATTTAATAGCAAATCTAGTAAGGGCTGTAATATCTCATTTTTATATATTTAGGAATCTCTGGAACCACAAATCCAGTTGGAAGATTAAAACTTAGCCTTAATGTACGCAGAGATGATTTTTTAAAACAACACATTTTTATTGGTTTCAGAAAGAAAAGGAGAGGGAGACAGAAATATCAATGATGAGAATCGTTGATCAGCTGCCTCCTGCATGCCCCCTACTGGGGATAAACTTGGGCTGTGCCCTGACTGAAAATCAAACCATGACTTCCTGGTTCGGAGGTCCACGCTCAACCACTGAGCCATACCAGCTGAACCAAAGATGATTTTTGAGATCTATATGCCAATACTTTTTATGAATTATCTCCTTTTTGGTCACCTCCACAACCAGAAGCCCAAACAAATTAGGACAACTGATTTGCAGCTTCTTTTGAAAAAATGGACTCAGTATCTCCACTTCTTCAGACCTCAGCTTCTTCACTTCATGTAAAACAGAAATAGCGTGATCTGATCAACTTCATCACTGGACTATTTTGAGTAGTTTAAACATATAATGGTTCAACATACAGATCAATGGGTCAGACTAAATACCTAGAAGTAGACCCTAAGGGATAACGATTACCTGACTTGGATGGCCCTGCTCTCATGCTCATGACTGATACCACTTGTCAATCACAGCACTCAGAGCCTCAGGAATCCTTCTCAATGCACACTCCAGGAAGCTACTATCAATAGAAGAAAGCTGGCACAGTGGATGAAACCTACTCTGCATTTCCTAGTATATAGGAAAACTGAATAGGAGAAATCAAGGATTCTTAAATGATGCTAGAATAATTGGTTTGACTATTTAGAATATTTCCCTAAAATCAAGAAATGCTATAAAAATATCTGGAACCGTAAATTCAGAGTCTAAATGTATTTTCAACATTAGTTATTACTAAGTATGGTATTAAGTCACTAAAATAACTCTTTGGGGGGGAAAAACTGTTTCTAGGTCTCATCTCCTCTATATAACCTAACGAAGAAGGAAGATAAATGGCAAGATGAAAACCACTGTCTGTCAAGTATCCCATTTAAACAAATAAACAAAAACTCCTGTATTTTTAATGGTGAGACATAGAAAAAAAGTGAACTGTGGTTACCAATGGAGAGTAGATTAGTAAATGGGAATGGATGGAGTTTATTTTAATAAGCATGTATTACTTTTCTTCCTTATATCTAAGGTTCCACCCCATTCCTGCCCAGAGAAACAATAATCTGGAAATAATAATTTGACAGTCTCTGATGGAAGCAGAGGGCATAAAGAACAAAGAAGTCATACTTAGAAAATACTTATAGTTAAATATATCATTTTCATATTGTATCTCATATTCTTCACAAAATCCTCTGGGGAGATGGGTGTGTATTATAATCCTCATTTTACAAACTAAAACGTTTAGCCTGAAGGATTAATAAGCACAAATAATTAGTAACAGAATTGGGACTTAACCCCAAGGCTTTTGACTTCAGGTTCAGTCTGCTTTCTATTACCTTACATTCCTCCTCCCTCTTCTTAAATAAAAGTGGAAGAGGAAATGTGAATATTTTCCTAGTCAAAGCAAAGCATGCTTTCATCTCTTACTTTAAAAATAGGAGAAAGAAAAGGAGGTAGAAGGAAGAAGAGAAAGAAAGGAGTTGAAGAGGAAAAAGAAAAAAGAAGAGGGGAAAGGAGAGGATAGAAGGGGATAGAATAGAGAAGGGAAGAGAAGTGAGAAAAAGCAATTTAGACACACCTCTTATTGTAAGAAACTACCAAGGGAAAGTCAATACACTTACAAAGATGTAAGCAAAACTACAGAAAAACCCTAAACTAGCTTGAAGAAACCTAATGGAAGAGTTCTGAAAGTCTGTAGAACTTGTCTACCAAAGCAACCCGGACAAGAAGAAAACTGCATCAATTATCAATTAGAGTTGATGCCAGTCGCCATTAGGCACCATAATGGGTCTGTCAATTCTATTGTCTTATAGCAGCGAATAACACTGCATTGTTATAACACACAATGTTTACCATATTCACCTGCTCTATAGAAATGTTGAAATGTTTAATGAATTAACAAAAAATGAGGCCCTTAACAGAAAGCTGCTATACTAAAAATACTCCTGAGTGTACAATAAATACTAAAAACTTTTATACTGCTTCAAATTTATGAAAAAAATAAAGTTACGGGTTTAGGTTGAAAGATATGTATTATTTTTACAGTATGCATATGAGTCCCTAAAAATAATTATATCTGAGTTATCCAACTCACTGTTGAAGTATCAATGATGCTTTTCTCTCGTCCATCAATGTCATCATCTTCGTCTTCATCACTGAAATCTGCAGCTGCACTTTCAGGGAATTTGAAATTATCCAGCACAGAGGCAGAATCTGTTAACTCAGATTTCCTGGTTTAAAACATGTACACTTTGCTCAGTTAATTTTTTAAACTCAACATAAGAATTAATCTGTAATATGATGCACTACCTTCTGTTTATATTGTAACGACAATTCCTCAAATAACATTATGAATGACATTGATTCTTATCCATGAAAGTATAATATAGGAAGTGATTACTTTTTAAAGTACTTTGCAACCCTATCTATTTAGATTAATGGTAATCTAATGTAAAGAACCCCTCCTAATTCAGATGTATTTTGATCCTAGGCTAACTTTCATGTATTTCTTCTTTAAAATATTTTTTCTCTCTACCACAACTTTATTCTATTCTTTTCCTCTATGCTACTCTTCCTGTGACACATAAGTTTCTATAATATGCCCTAGCCAGTTTGGCTCGGTGGATAGAGCATCAGCCTGCGGACTCAGGGGTCCCAGGTTCGATTCCAGTCAGGGGCGTGTGCCTTGGTTGCGGGCACATCCCCAGTGGGGAGTGTGCAGGAGGCAGCTGATTGATATTTCTCTCTCGTCGATGTTTCTAGCACTCTATTCCTCTCCCTTCATCTCTGTAAAAAAATCAATAAAGTATTTTTTTTAAGTTTCCATAACTAGAAAATATGTCATTTTTCTCTGATGCTATCTTATATTTCTGAGCAGCTGACGAGCTGAAAAAGAGCAAATGTGCACATCACGTTACTAAATACAATATATTATTCAAATCAACATTTCTACAAAACTTCATCTTATTGGTGAGCATTAAACTTTTGGAAATGATTTCAAATATGTAAGATTTTAATTTATTTCCCTAGTAAACAATTTCCTAATGACCAGAAAGGATGATTTCTCTCTAGTTCATTTTGAACAATAATAGATACAGAGGCAGAGCTGCCTCAAACAGATTGTCAAACTGCAGCGGGAAGGCCGGGGAGGGTTGGGGGGCAGGAGGTAGGGGGGTAAGAGATCAACCAAAGGACCTGTATGCATGCATATAAGCATAACCAATGGACATAAGACACTGGGGGATAGGGGAGGCTAGGGGACTGTCTAGGGCCGGGGGGAAAAAATGGACACATATGTAATACCCTTTGTAATACCTTAAGCAATAAAAAAAAAGAAAAAAATCTTTTAGAAACGAAGGTATGTCTATGAAAAAATATAGCCACACTATGGATGAAATTTTCAAGACAAATAATAAATTTCAAATTTGCTGGAAGCTACGTTTGAGGTTTTTCCACCCTATTCTTCATCTCTACATAATTAGATATTCAGAATAATATCCTTGTCAGCTTCAAAAGATAGGTCAGACCAAAACACAAGACAACTAAAGTGGTCTTTTCTGAGGCCTTTATACTGACTTGTTAACCCTTTTCAGTGGTTCTCAACCCTCTGGCCCTTTAAATACAGTTCCTCATGTTGTGACCCAACCATAAAATTATTTTCGTTGCTACTTCATAACTGTAATGTTGCTACTGTTATGAATCGTAATGTAAATATCTGATATGCAGGATGGTCTTAAGCGACCCCTGTGAAAGGGTTGTTCGACCGCCAAAGGGGTCGCGAGCCACAGGTTGAGAACCGCTGCTTAGGTAAAACTAAAAGCAAGAATGCCTACATTGTCTATGTCTACATAGAGAAACAATCTACATCTCACATTTATAAAAACAATTTAATGTAGTTTTAATTATTAATGAATATATTTAAGAAGACCCTAATGACATCTGTTTACAAAAGTCATATTTTTGAACCTTTACCTAAATCTCATAATTTTAGTTTATGGTCCAGAGAACAGAAACTATGTTCTCACTAGAACAGCAATTTTCAACCTTTCCCATGTCATGGCACACATAAACTACTAAAATTCTGTGACACCAAAAAATTTTTGCCAATCAGACAAAAAAAAGGGTATAATTTTTATTCATTCACACCGCATAGCTATTGTTGTGTTGGCTGTTATCATTTTTTCATTTGACAATCTAAGGGAAAAGCCATCAGTGCCCCTGACTAAATAAAAGTGGCTAAGATAAGGTTTACTTCTTAAAAATTTTAACTGAATTTCCAAAATAAGATCTTTTATGAAGTTCTAATAGTAAGTGACTAAGCTTTAGGGATATAAAAATCTGCATAAAACCATAAATTTCAAGCAAATACCTTAAATAAAAAATATTCTTAAAATATCATAAACTCTAATCACTACATGTTATCTTCTAATAAATGAATTTTAAACCCCTATTAAACCTTATTATAATTATTTCTGTAGCAGTATCTAAAAGTACAAGTACCATAAATATCACCCATAAACCAAATATATTTAATAAAAACTAAAGTTATAGCTAGAACACTTTCCAGACAAAATACTTACCCAATCATTGCTGTATCTTTAACTTCACCTTCTGTGCCATTTATAAGTGAGTCCTGATTTTTGTCATCTTCTCTGTCCGTGACATCACTTGAAAAGCCCAACAAAGCTCTCACTCGTTTAGACTTCACATCTAGAATAGTATCTGTGTATCCCACCTCCTGTAGATACCTGTGTATAAAGATGATCCTTACAATTCAGCCATACTGGATCAGCATTCTATAACTTAATACATAAATAAAAGTATTTCTTTAAATTCAATGCCTGCATAGGGTTTAACAGAATAGTACCATGCTAGTATGACTTGCTAATAAATAATCTTCCAGCTGCAGATGGAGCTGTCTCTTGCAGTACCAGTCTCTACCATCACTGAGAAAAATCAAAGAACTATACAATACACCATTCATTATATTTATCATAAAAAGAAACTGTTTCTTAATATACCTAATAGCACATTCTTTCTTCTAGGCAGGGTTGGAGCAATCTCACTCTCAGATAAATTACTATTTTATGATAGTGGTTGTTATACTCAGTAGTCTTTTTACATTTCTGATGTAAAGTGTCACTGTTTAAGATCTAAAGAGAATGTTTCTGGCATACATAATTTCCTCTATGACATACAATAAGACAGTATAATCCAAAGAGTCACTTCTACAGAAGGAACACTTCTATCCTGGGACAATTGTAAAATGAAAAATGCAGACCACAATTCAATTGTGGAATGTGTAACGCCTGGGTACACAGGAAGAGGGGCAGCAGCACAGAATAAAAGAGAATAGGCTTTGTATTAGCCTAAATGGGTGTAAAGCCCATTTCTGCCATTTTCACTGTTACTTT